AAATTATTCTACTTCACAATCAGGAGCCCTATATAGATAAAAATTGTTCATTTTCTCCAGGTTCAAGCCCCTTCTTGCTGGAAGTTCTGCCTCTACAACCTGCCATGGATTCGGGCTTTGGTAGCACACATTTTAGTTTAACACCATTTTGGCTACAGTCAATCTTACTTGATCCATGGAACTATTTTGTCTAAGATGTGTTTGTATAGATGTGGTCTCATTCATCATATATTGACTTTATTAGAAAACAATGTTCTGCCAGATTCGTCAATCCTCAGTTCCCAGGGGCCTCTCTGACAGATGAGGTCTAGCCTGGCTCTCCACCAAGCCTTCAGCATGAGGTTGCTCATGGATTTTTATTTTACCCTCAAATTTCTCAATTCCATTCTTGGCTCACATCATGGTCCTTCAAAACATTTGGATGAAAGTAACCTGATCCTGGTAATTATTCATTTCTCTCATTAACTAGGTCCCCAATTCCTGTGCACTTACTAGTATTTAATTTACCACTTCCACAGTAAAGACCATTTGTGTGTGGGAATCTCCTCAGCGTCCTTTCTATAAAGGCTGAAGCAATCAGCCAGGTGTGGTGGTGTGCACCTACAGTTCCAGCTACTCAGGAGGCTGAGGCAGGGGGATTGCTTGAGCCCAGAGACAGAGCTGCAGTGAGGTATGATCAGGCCCCTGCACTCCAGCCTGGGTGACAGAGCAAGACCCAGTCTCAATTAAAAAATACACACATAGGCCAGGCGCAGTGGCTCATGCCTGTAATCCCAGCACTTTGGGAGACTGAGGCAGGAGGATCGCTTGAGCTCAGGAGGTGGAGACCACCCTGCCCAACATGGTGAAATCCAGTCTCTACAAAAAACACAAGTATCAGCTGGACGTGCTGGCCCACGCCTGTAGTCCAACTACTTGGGGTGCTGTGGTGGGAAGATCGCTTGAGCCCAGGGGGTTTGAGCTCAGGGGGTCAGTAGGAGATGGGGTTATCGTTGACAGAAATGAGTGAGGTAGGAAGGGGCACCGTGGGGCAGACAGTAGCTATGGTTGTAGACAAGTTGAGACTAGGTAAGGACCATAACTCAAAGGTGTGACAGCAAACTTTTATTCAGTCTCTAACACTTCAGAATTACATTCAGGATAGGAAAAGACCTAACACCAACGTTATAAGAAGCTCAAAATACTGCAGCAAGGACCTGTTCCTAGCTTCCTCTGAGGGGACCAACTGGACACTGGCCTCCACCCTCGACTTACTCATTACGACTGAATTTAGGGGACCTCTAACTTTCGTCTTGCTAAAACAAACTCTTTCTTTTGCTTCATACAATGACTAAGGCGAAAGTAGGCTCTCTTTTTCTCTAAGAAGGAAACTAGATTCATGAGCAGTGCTGGCTCTTCCATGAACTCATGTTAGATAAACCATTCACTGATAAAGTTGCAAACCAGGCAGGGTGCCTGTCTCAGCTGCCTCTCCCAAATGTCCCTATTCTATTCAAACAGCTTGCAAATGGAACCAAGTGTATAAATCACATCTGAAGTTCCACTATGACACGAGAACTTTAAAATACTTGATGTTCATTCAGTGTTCCTCTGGTCTGGTAGTTATGATGTGATGAACTATAGATTTACATGGGGAGACAGCCTAAACTTCAGGTCCCTGAAACTGAGCAGCAGTTTCTCATCTGTGAGGCAAGAAGCATGGCCTAGATGACCAATACTCCTTCCACTCCAAAAATCTGTCTGCGATTCCGAAGTTGAGTTTATTTAGGGGGATTTTAAGTATGGAGTCAAATTCCAACTCTTACCACCAGATGTCACTGTTGTTCATCAACTAGAAATAGCACCTTCTAGGGACAGTAGGATCCTGAACCTTTTTATTCTACTCGTAGTTAATTTAACAAACGCTGAACACTTCTGTGTGCCAGGTGCTTTGGATGAGAAAGGCCATCATGCCCTCAGACAACTGGAGGAGAGGCATGGTAGCGATCACACACGTCAACACTCCAATAACCTCCAACATTAAGCCATGGACTGTAACTCTCAGTGAAAAATCAACATACTATCTCCTTAAAGCAGAACACTGATTCCTCAGGGAGACTTTCTCCAAGCCCAGCCCTGGGTCAGGTCCCCAGCCGGATGTTCCTGTTGCATCCTATACCTAATATTCATCACACTTTATTGTGTTGGGACTCAGAAAAGAATACCCCAAAATATGTTTTGACATGCTGGACGGAGGATGCAGCCTCAAGGTCTCTGACCTCCTACTCCCTCCCCACCAAGAAGCTGTTCTTTGAAGCTCCCTGTGCTCGCTTCGGCAGCACATATACTAAAATTGGAACGAAGCTCCCTTATCTGCTTAACGTCTAGACCTGCCAAAAGGGAAAAAAATTACCCCTGGTCCTTTCCCCGAGGATTTGGTTTTTTTTTTTTGAGACAGAGTCTCGCTCTGTTGCCCAACCTGGAGTGCAGTGGCGCAATTTCCTGGGTTCAAGTGATTCTCCCACCTCAGCCTCCTGAGTAGCTGACACTATAGGTGCATGCCACCACACCCAGGTAATTTTTGTATTTTATTTAGTAGAGAGGCAGTTTTGCCATGTTGGCCACGCTGGTCTCAAACTCCTGACCTCCAGTGATCCACCTGCCTCGGCCTCCCGAAGGACTGGGATTACAGGTGTGAGCCACCGCACCCGGCACGGAATTCCCATTAATTTAACTCATTGCAGGAAGAGACAAAAATCTGTCAACATACCTGGACAGACTTGTCACAAACCGTTACCTGCTCTGTGGGCCAGACTTTGTCTTAGGCTATCCTGTTCTCTAGGTCCCTAAAAATAACTCATTATCCCTCAGAGTGCCACATTTCCTCCACCTCCAACTCCCCTGTGAAGAAGGGTGTATAAACATGTATCCTCTTGCGTTACTGAGTAATCATTCTGCCATTCCCCCATGATACACACATTAAAATAATTTCAGGTCTTACTAATCTGCCTTTTGTCCTTCAGAGGGCGGAGGGAAAGATTTCCCTTGGCCCCTGCAATGGTAATCACTTCTACAACGCCAGCCTTCCCTGCTAAGACTATAACTCTGAAGGCAACGCGCACGTGTCTCCTGTGCTGCTGCATTCCCATGGTTACCACAGTAACAATGGAAACAGCAGCCATCTACTGAGCTTACTAATGAATTGGGTGCTATGCTAAGTAAGCCCTTTACAGTATTTTATTTAATCCCGACAACCCTAGGCCACTGATGCTGTCCCCATTGTACAGATGAGAAAACCATGGGTGCTTGGTTAGGAGTGGCAGAACCATGAACCCAGGCCTCATTCAATAAAAACTCGTATCTCATCCACTTGAACCACCTAACACACCCATCTCTTGAGGCGAGCAATCTCACACGTATCTCATGAACACTTCACCTGTATTTCTCCCCATCTTCTGCCATTTGTCTAGATCAATGACTCTCAAATTTGTTATTTAAAACCAGTAGAGTACTCATCTATTAGAATGAAAGTTTTCTGAAAATGTAGTGAAAGGTCAATACCAAGACCTGTTAGTTATTGGACTTGATAAAGGAAGAATTTGAGCAGCCAAGCAAAAAATCAAATCACTTATATAAGAAAAATGTCACGACTTTAAGCTTCTCTATAGCAACACTTCAATATTCCAAAGAAAAACATAAACTGAGAATTGTATATCTAGCTAAATTTTGTTTACTGTGTAAAGGCTACCGACAAACATATTTGACAGGGCAAAAATTTCGGAAAATTATTCCGTGAGTCTTTCTTGAGGAACTTATTAAATCATTAATTTCAGCTGACCGAGAGATTACTGGGAATGTTTGAATTTCAAATATATTTAAACTGTGAAACTAAAAAATGGAGGATGACGGAACAGAACATACATATTACATGTTCTCACAATGTAGAAATGATACAAAATTGAGAGGAAGGGAAAAGAAAGTGGCAGTTCACTGACAGCATGGTAGACGGCAACAGAGCAAATCAGTTAAAGCTAAGCTGGCAAGTCAAAGAGAAGTATAATGACATTTAACAGTATACAAGTAGGTCAGGCGTGGTGGATCACGCCTTTATTTCCACACTCTGGGAGGCTGAGGCAGACAGATCGCTTGAAGCCAGGAGTTCGAGACCATCCTGGCCAACATGGTGAAACCTCGCCTTTACAAAAAATACAAAAATTAGCTCAGCATGGGGGCGCATGCCTGTAATTGTAGCTACTCAGGAGACTAAGGCATGAGAATAACTTGAATGGAGGAGGTGGATGTTGCCGTGAGCTGAGATCATGCCACTGTAATCCAGCCTGAGCAACAAAGCGAGACTCTGTCTCAAAAAAAAAAAGTACAAGAGTAAAGTCCAATAACGTTATTGACTAGAATTGGTTAGTAGAGGAGGAGGGAAAGAAGAAATATGCTAGATTTAAATACTGCTCATAAGGAATTGTTAGTGACTGAATTTATTATAAAGAGTGCTATAATTATATGGATAATCAGCCACGCCCGTAATCCTAACACTTTGGGAGGCCAAGGCAGGTGGATCACCTGAGGTCAGGAGTTCAAGACCAGCTTGGCCAACCTGTTGAAATCTTGTCTCTACCAAAAATACAAAAATTAGCCAGGCATGTTAGCGCCATGCCTGTAGTCACAGCTACTCAGAAGGCTAAGGCGGGAGAATCGCTTGGACCCGGGGTGGGGTGCGGAGGTTTCAGTGAGCTTAGATCATGCCACTGCACTCCAGCCTGGACAGCAAAGCAAAACTCCATCTCAAAAAAAAAAAAATTATATGGCTAATCACTAGAACAAAAATTACCCACAAAAGAAAGAAAACAAAACACACCATATAATAATATTTTTCAAATCATCGGAACAGAAAGCAGAAGATGATTAAAGTAGGGAACCACCACCACCAAAAAGAGAATTTCCTGAAACCTGTTCTCCAGTTTGTTCCTCCACAGGAAGCTCCTCCTTCATGAAATAAATACAAGACATTGGCATGGGTCGCTTCCTTTAATAACAACACATATGCCATGTTATCATGACGGAATGTAAATTCAGTTTAGACAAGAGAATTTCACAAGTGTAACAGCATTCTGTACTATATAAAAGTTTGGGTATACTGTCTGGCCAAACCAGCTTGCTAAGTCATTAATCAAATCCATTATAGGTCATTTGTTGAGTTTAATGTTTACAATTATTATGGAAAAAATATGCAATGCACACATTTAAAAAGTGTTCATTTACCTTTGCTATGAGTGCTAAAAATACATATTTCTATTTCAAGATGACATTTAAAATTTATTCTAATATAACAGCAGCAAAAATATAATTCGCAGTTACACAAGAACGAAACTAGAATCCATAAATTATTCTCATGTTTACAACTGAGATTCTTTAATAAATACTACTATCATGCAGCTCTACTGTAAGCTTTCTACATTTGGTTTAAACACATGCACATACACATATTGTTAGTTGTGGGAAGCTTTACAAGTTATATTCCATGAACTTTTTGGACAGAGTTCTAAAAGGGCCAGCCTGTCCACAAAACAGGCAGAAAAAAGTTAAATTGGCTGGGGCAAATAGGACTCTCATATAACATCCAAAGCATCTGAGATTCTGCAGCAAACAGGGAATACTTCAGGGTTGGCCTGTTATCTTCTTTAGAACTAAGTTCAGCTGAACAATTTAAGAAGGTGGACATTTCAACATCATCAAGTGCATTTAGGTGACATGTTTCTTTCAAGTTAACTTGACTTCCTTGAATGACCTAGTTAGTAAACTAGCCACTAGTAATGCGGTCACACCAGGCAAATCAAGCCTGCAAGAAAGCAAGCCAATATTCAAAATGCCATTTTACCATCTAAACCCAAACAAATTAGTTTATTTTCAACAATACGTAACTTCAACAAAGAGATGTCTAACTCAAGTAAGCTCCTCCAACGAGACCAAGACAGCATCTCTTCTTCTAAGGCTTAGGTTTTGCCCAGTATTCCCGATACATGGAATAGCCCATACCTAAAGAAAAAGAATGCTAGTTAAGCATTTCAATATTTTCTTAAATACTGAAAGATAAAAACCAGTTCATCAAATAGCTGAAAGTAGCACAACTGCTTAGCATGGAATATTTACAAGGGGAATAAGACCCCAGGAAGCTTATACTCTTGCCTTTTTAAACAACTTAACTTCTAAAACTCTTTTTACATAGAGTAGTTTCCCAAGTAGCAAAGGGCTGGTATGACTATTTCACATGTTGCAATATTTCCTTTTAAGAGCAATCAATATTTACCTGGTAACTTTGAAAGGAGTCACTCTTGCTACACCATACCAAATAAAGTCAATGAATTATAAAGCCAATAGAAGCATATAGTACCTACACTTTAAGAATCTTTTCTTTAAAAACACTATAAAATAGCAACTTATGTCTCTCCCAGATAACACGTTACTACCAACCCCTTTAGACTCGTCAATAAAATTATAAACTCAGTGACTGACAGGATTATTTTTTCTTTAAGATTGTAGTAGAAAATAACATAGAAAAACTACTATGTCACTATTTGAATTCTTTTCATTAATTCATTTTTTACCGAATATAAGTGATATTCTCAAACGGCTAAAAGGTCAGCTAAAAATATTTACTTGTCTCGTTTGTAAAGAAATACCTCGATGGGGAACAAAAATGTGAAAATTTCCTGTAGGAACCTACCAATAGTCATTGCTCCTACAACAAAGCCCTGGGCTGCCACACGCATGTGGATCAGATGAACAGACATTTTAGTATTTCCCCTGCTCTTCAATTTGTATAACCCATATGCAACAATTGCTGCAAAACCTGCCATTCCTGTAAAACAAAATAACATGTATGTCAGATGCATGAGGAGAGGGGACCAAGATGATTTTACCATCAATCAATGTACATTCTGTTGTTTTTATGAGGATTCTTTATCAGATCATTAATTAGCTAACATACAAATTGAGTTTTTCGTGTTTTCCCCCATCAGAACCAAAAATATTTAAGCAAACAATGGCAGATCCAGAAAGCCGGGATTATCTTTAAAAATGTGGGTTTGTGGGGCCAGTAGCTAAACTACTTTAAAAGAGTGCTAGGGAATTAACAGGACCCTAGATGACGATTATCAGAACCAAAGTATGCCAAAGGTCCCGAGTTAGGAAATACATGGATTCCATTTCCTCTCTGTCCTACTTCCCTCCCTGAAGGTTAATCAGTTAATATAGCAGAGACAATCCTACACATTACTACCACCGAGAAACATTGCCTGAATACTTCAAACTCTGAGATACTGTACTGGGAAGAATGTAAGTAAAGGAAAAGAACAGAGCAATATTAGTTTCAGTTAAAAGGATTATGACCCTAGAATTCTATAGAGAGTCATACTCTCATTCATTTTGAGGGCAAATGCATTAAGAACATGACCTTGCATGTTTTCTTTTTAAGATTTATTATTTTATTTTTTAAGAGACGGGGTCTTGCTCTGTTGCCCAGACTGGAGTGCAGCCACACAATCACAGCTCACTGCAGCCTTGAACTCCTCGGCTCAGGCGATCCTCTTGCTTCAGCCTCCCTAATAACTGGGACTAGTACAGGAGGGCTCTCTGTTTCCCGAGCTGCCACCCACGCACTAATACAAACACCTAGAGGAAAACATCCAGTCAAATAAAAAGTCAGTCAAACAGACAGTTCAAGAAATTAAGACACAATAGTTAAGATACAACAGAGAGCAATAAAGCCAAGAAAATCTGTACTGGTTCCTTGAAAATGACTGGTATAATACAGAAAAATTAAGAATCTAAAATTAAGCTAAAATTATTACAACAAAACGTGTGCTAATGGTCTTATCTTAGGGGATAAATTTATATTCATTTCAATACTTGACATAGATGAAAAAAACACATCCTGCTTTAACAATGTAAAGAAAACCAACCACCAGCAAGCAGTACAAGAATAGCTGCAGAATTTCCAAATCATAAGAAGAGGGAGGGCATGGTGGCTCATGCCTGTAATCCCAGTACTTTGGGAGGCTGAGGTGGGCGGATCACCTGAGGTTGGGAGTTTAAACCAGCCTGACCAACATGGAGAAACCCCATCTCTACTAAAAATATTAAAAAATTAGCCAAGCAGGGTGGCACACGC